TATAAAGCACTTTACCGCATAAGAAAAAAAATTATAATTCTTAGACGGTGAAAGTTTCCTTGTATATCAATGTCTAGCTGGCTAATTTCCTTTCGTTTTCTGTTCTCACTTAGGTATATTAATTTGCTTTTTTCAAAAAAAGATTTGACAATCAAAATTCATGTTCAGTATCAAATGGTAGCTAATAATTGTATTGTTTTCTTTTTTTTTGTCTTTTTTTCTATAATAGTTACCCTTTTTTTGTTTTATCGATTATAGATTCTCATCTGGAGCCTGAATCTAAGCCTGCCTATTTTGCTTTCGTCTTCTATTTTCAATTACATATGATTTGCGCGCGTTTTCAAAAATTAAGGTTATTGTCTTTTCCGGAGAAAAATAGAATGCTCATTCAGTATCTAGCACATAGTTTCAGAATCATGGAGCTTTAAAATAAAATTATAGGATAAACCAAAAAATATAGTAAGTTTTAAAAAAATACATTGTAAGGAAAAAAAAAAATAAGAATGTTAATGTTCGATTCTCAATCGACTGAGGCCATCTGTTCCATAATTACGGACCTACAGKGCAGAAACTCATRATAACCCAATGTCGACGATGTCAACACTCTAGGCATGTTTTGAGAAAGGTATTTATTATCATTAGTTTACAATTCACTAGGTTTTCTTTGTTATTCATAGGGTTGTATATATATAGAAATCCCGGGGAGGGATTTGATATTCAGCAGGGAAATGTGGGGGTTGATGAATTGAATTGAATAGCCCGTTATAAATTCAGCGGGCTAGATATGAGTGACCGGGATCAATGCTATATAGCAGTTCCCTGCTGAATATACTTAGTTTATTTGGCAAATAAACTAAGTAAACTGAACGATAATTTCCCCTAAAAAAGACTAGTGTGGCCAGCAAACCTTGACGAGATTGAGAGCGTAATAAGTTCGAGTCCCGAAGCTTTTCTATCATGTTCATCACCAGAGAATAACAATAAATAAGACAACAACAACCAAGATCTTCGTTACTTTTAAAAGAATCTATACTTCGGAATTGACCAACGTGTATGAATCARAAGTAATTATAGTGTGACTGGTATTTCTCCGCTTCTCGGCCCATTCTATCCAAGCACGTACACACCATCTGGTACTTTATTTTGTTCCTTCTGGAACCCTTCCCTCATATTTCTTTGAGCGAGTTCAACATCAAAAACTATTGCAATTTTTCTCGTTTTTAACATCTGCAGACTTTGTCATCGTTATTTGCGGGCAGAGGCATGCGGAGTTCCAAATCCGATAGCAAATCGTCAATACCAAAGTTCGGCAAAGGAATGCTGTCAAACGTATTTTGAGCTATACACAAACCGTCGTCAGTGTTTGACATCGTGTGCAGAATGACTGTTAAGAATATTTGATAACAATATTCAAATTCTGATTGCTCGCTTTCGCATGAACAGGTTTTCTTAAAGGAAACTAATTTCAACAGTCTATGAAAAAGTCTCAAGTGGAGAGGATTCTATTGTTCGAATCCCAACTAAAAAAATATTTATTTAGTCTATGAACAGGGTATATAATTTTCAGCCGATTTCACTGTGGAACATGGTCAGGGTTTTTTTATGATACTACACACGATCTGAAAATTAATCCGTAAAATCGCGCATCCAGACCGCAGGTCTGTCATTTTTGGTATCCAGCAAAATAAAAAAAAAGAAACTATTCTGTGTCGCGCGGTAAATTTGACTTTGAAAACGCTGGAAGTTACCAAGAGCGATGGAACCAACTTCGAACCAAATGCGCTCTCAAGCTATCAAAGAAGTACTGAGCGCTTTCTCGACGAGAAAATTTACCCATGAACGTAAAAAAAGAAAGATGAAGAGTTTGCAAAAAGTAGTGAGGTCTTGGTTTCCTGTCGTACCAAACCCAACGCGACTAAACCACTGGCACACAAGGAAGAAGACGCTTTTTTACACGGTGGACAGTTTGGTGATAATAACCCTGAGATCTGTCAGCGAGCAGTTTATTTCCTGGTTATCTCTTCATTTTGGATTTCGCCCGTGCGGAGAGACGAGAGAATAGAAAGCAGCTGTGGGGAAACGTTCAGCTACAAACAGGTATGAATGGCGAAGAAATGATTGTTTGGGTAACAGAAAGAGGCACCAAAACCAAGCCAGGAGCAAGGATACTTGAGAGCATTTCAATAGAAATAGTATGCAATTGGTGGAAATAGTGTCCGATGCAATATACTACTAAAAGTTTTATTACACCATCCAAGAGAAATGTGTTAAGAGGATTAGCCACTTTTCCTGGCAATCAACCACAAGAGATCGTCGAACGAAGCTCGCCCTGGTATAAGAAGAGTCTGCTTAGAAAGAATCTCATTGAAAAGTTTCCGAGCCGGCGGGTTCCTAAGAGAAATATATCTCTGTTCTTATGAACCTACCAGCTGTAAGTCACATTTGGTTACCAGCGTGAAATTCAGGGGGAAAAACTCTCCAGGCAAGGAATACTTTCTAAGAA